AATTAATTGTCTTTATGTTGAGGGATTCAGCTGTAAAAAGAACTAAAATTGCCATTATTAATTTAATAAATATGCTTAAGTTATTTAGTTGTGTCATAATGAACAGTTATAAATGGCATTAAAGAAATCAAAATAGCATTTTGATTTCTGTCATGCACTGTCCTTGTTTATATGATTTAAGTATATTACTCCCATTGAGATTGGGGGGGTTCTGTGGGAAAGACTTCGGAGTGTAACTCTGAAAAACTCTAAATAAATTTTTAAAATTTATTTAAAAAAAGAAAAAGAAAAATGAAATAACCAGCAGAATCTATTTTCTTAACTACTCCATCAGTGAAATAAGGACCAAGTGCTATATATGTAAAGCAAAAAACAAACCAAAAAAAAAAAAATAACCACACACATCAGATGACTCATAGCATCCAGGATTGTGATGACTGAAAATATTTCAAGGGAAGCACTTGTGAGTGCTAGTCAGCATTATCAACAGTTCTCAGGGAAAGGATTCTTGCTCAGCACCATGACTTGATTCACACTGTATTTTGGAGAATGGCGAGAGAAACGTGTAGCATAGAAGATGCTTTTCTGTAGGTTTTAAAGAGGAAATAAATTAGTTCAGTAGATTTGCAGGAGAGTGGGAGAAACTAAAACATAAATCACAATTACAATATTCCTTCATATTTTCCATAATGCAAGTAGAAAGGTTTTGTATTCTAAAATAATTCAGAGATTCTTAGAGCTCTGTCTCTGAATATGAAGGAAACGTGTTTCTTGGGTATTAAAATTCTTAGCATAACTAGGTAGTAATTGTATTTGTCTTATTTTTCAGATATTCCCAGAAGAACAGGGAAGAGAAAAATGACTGAGTGGGAACATTTAAATACAGTGAATTAATTCATAAGTGATATTGTGGATTATAATGTTACTTTTACAATACGTTGTTATATTCCCATGTAGGGTTTTGTCAAGTATGCAGGTCATTAATGTCTACATGACTAGTCTTATGGTGGATAAAGCAAATTGGACTCTCAATTAAGTTGGACCTATATTATTTATGGTCACAAATATAAGGCAATTAGGCCATCAATAATTATTTCTTATAGAATTATATGTTTTATATAATATATGTATAAAAACCATGTATATAAAATAAAATCATAAACTATGACTTAATTATCTGCTTGACATTTTACTTTGGTGTACTTTACAATGGTGAGAACTTGTCTGGAATTTGTTGAACAGTCTTTACTTACCAAGCAGCCAGAGAAAGTTTGGCTCACCTCCAAGCAAGCTGCACAAGCTCAAGCTCATTAAAAGCTCATAAAGATGCTATTAGGTATTACAAAGGATCTGACCGTGGTCCCCATGGTTCTAGCTGCCACTGGTTTCCCATAGAGCCCTAGTAGAATCTGTAGTGTGCCTGGAAGAGCACAGATGGATTCTGTACACTTTGTGGTCTGAATAATCTTCACCTAATGACAACAGATGTGGTAGGTAGAATAATACTCCCTCCCACCAAAAACAACAACAACAGCAGCAGCAAAAACACAGAGATGTCTACCTTCTAACCTATGGAACCTGGTAATATATTAATTACAGGGTAAAATGGTATTAAGATTGCCGTTGAAATGAAAGTTGCTAGTCATTTTATCTTAACATAGGGAAGTAATTCCAGATTATATCAGTGGACCCAATGTAATTACTAGGATCCATAAAGTGGAAGACAGAATTGAAAGAGAGAACCATACAGTATCATGAAAACTTCTTGGCCTGATGTTACTGACTTTGAAAATGGAGGAAGGGGGCCATGAGTCAGCTAAGGAAAGAAGGTGGCCCTATACAAGCTGGAAAAGGCAAGAAAACAGTTCTTGTCTAATGGAGTAAATCTCATGACATAAATGGATGTGTGAGTTTCCCTGCCAGTCAGCAGATTGGCATATACTTGGTACCTCATTCTTCGTAGCAACCACCAGAATAGTGTTACAGAGAACTGCGTTGGAAATTTCCTAATCCGTATGCTTCATTTTGAGGCTACTATATAACCGCTGATGTTGTTTCCAGTCCTTGACTGATCTCTGAAGCTTCACATTTGAAAAACTATTATAGCTAGAGTAGTACGTGGTCAATCTCATGTTTGTTTGATTAAAATATTGTAGAGACCAATATGCAGGAGCTAGCAAAGTAGTAATCATCTATTCTGAGGTCAAGCAGGACAACTGCTCTTCCTAAGAATGTTTCATCTTCCCTTGAGAGAAGTTCTGGCAAGGTAGGTGGTTGGCAACAGTGACTCTTATATGGTGATCCTGAAATCTGTCTCTAATTTCTGCTCTCCTTTATTTTATCAGTGAGACAATGTTGAAATTTTATATTTCATAAGATTTTAAGGATGTTAACACTTGTGAAACTAAATGTACTCACAACACAGTTTTAGTTTATGAGTTTGAATTCACACTCTTGAACATAAGATCTAATCCTAATGTACAGTCTTTCTACTCTTAAAATTGGAAGGAGCATAACATGTTCCAAATTGCAAATAACATACATTACAAATTACATGTATTACAAACATAAATAATTTTTGAATTTAAACATGTCTCCAGAGCATTTTTTATGGTTTCCCTATTCTTCTTTCAATATAATGTGCCTTGGTGATAAAATAGAGAAGTATCTACATAAATGTAAAGGAAAATTAATCCATATGGCTATGATAATATAGATTATTGTCATAATATTTTGACTATAACAAGTAATTTCTAGAAATTAAAAAAGGATTTTATTTAAACACAATAATTTTTATAATTCACATCTTGATTTTCAGTAAATTATTGTTTCTCAATGGATAATTTGATAAATATCAATATCTCATAGCAATGGCAGATTGTAGTTATTATATAAAAGCAGTCTTTTTGAAATATTTATCATCTCCTGATATTTAGGCTTAACTACTCCCATAAGGCTGCATACCTATTAACACTTTATAAAGGATAAATGAAATTATAAATGCTTGCAATATGATTTTTTCTTAATTAATATCATTAAGTGATACAAAGCCTGGAGAGTGAAGTATATCTTACCAATTCATGAGACAGTGTTCTCTATTTGCTACTTCTAGTATGTGTTTAGTTGTCATTTCTACCAGAATTGAAAATACTGAAGGGCTGTTACTAGAAGGGGGTGTTTCGATTAGTAAAGATCACGTGTCTCCAGTTTTCACGGAACACTCAAATGATGAGGCTGTTTTATGGAGGAGGCAGATTGGATGCCGCAGGCTTCTCAACAGTCTGAAAAGCCCTGTTGGGCAGTCATTCCTTACATCTGGAGATGACAGAAACTATTTTTTTCTGGTCTTAGATAGTGCCTTCTGGTATCTGTGCACACACATGGAACACAGATCCTGTCACACTGAAAAATCCCATCTCCCTGCACTCCAATCTCTTCAGTGCACATTTATTTTCTCAAGTATTTTTCTTAAATCCTCATGGGCTTGAAAGCATTACTAGGATTGAGTTTCTTAGGGTCCAGGATACAAAAATAGAGTAATGCAAAAACAAATTTTATTCCATCCTAACTGTTCATACTCCTTAATTTGTTGACGTGTTTTCATTTGTTTTCAACCTTTAAAATCAAACTGCAGCTAGAAGCATACAAACACATTGCAAACATTAAGATATTAGCTAGTTTTTGCTCCTTTACACACTGCAGATTATGAGAAATTTATTTCATAATGGTAAAGGTTAAAATTGAAATGTCTCACATTATTCCACAAATGACACAATATGGCAAAATTATTATTCTATAATAAATGTTATTATATTAAAATGAATTCTTTTAAAAGGCAATCTTTAATTTTTACAAGTTATTTAGAGTTTTTAGGGACACTAGAGGATGTTAAAATATAGTTCCCTAATACCGGAAGAGTACATTGCACTATAACTTTCTTGAAGCGAGAGTACAGTATGGAATGCAAATCAATACAAATTTAGTTTAAAAGGGTTATTTTCAGAATTTTGTCAATTTTCTATTTTCATAAAAAGAAACAACTGAATGAAATGTAGAAAAACCCTATTATGTTCATTTTCATAATTATTAAACAATTAAGAGAAGTCATTGGTATTTTCTTTTACAGTTGAGGAAACCATGGTTCAGACAGGTAAAATCTCACAAAATCATATCGCTTGAACTTACTGAATTCTGTATTTCAAAGACTACCAGCTACATCTCGCTTTAATGAAAACAATGATGAGACGAAATGAAAGTCCAGGGACTTTCATAGTATCAGTAAGATGTCATGCTTCCAGATTGCTTTCCTATGGAAAATACGCACTTTCAAAAGGCTTTCAATTCTTACTAGCGGAAACTCCTCTTTAAAAATCCTACTAATTAGTCATAAATTCTCTGTCTAGATCAATACCCAGTAATAAACGTGCACATGTACCCCCTGAATTTATAAGTATATATGTGTGTGTATGTGTGTATGTATATATATATAATCTTACTAATTAATGTATTACTTATCTCACTCCTGTCCTGTGACATTTCTCCCACTCCCACATACCAGGATATATTATTCTAGCATTTCTGTGATCTTCCCTTTCTCTGAAAATATCTTTATTAAAAAATAGAATATTTTCTTGTTTGCAAAAGTGTTATTTTTTAGATTCTGCAATTATCTTTTTTCTATTTTCTGAGCTCTAAGCTGTCTCTTTGTTTCTAGGATGGCACAGCTCAGTATCTGTTGAGTTAAGACCATGATGGGTTTAAGGAATGGCCTTCTGTTTTGTAGCCACTCCATGGTCTTCTTGGGGCCTGCCAACCCCTGGATAACAGGAAATCTTCATAATGTAGCTGGTTTAAAGGGACTTCCAATGATGAATACTTCTGTTTAAGTAGAAGGTTCTGAATTATCAGTAGATAAGACCAGTATAACCGTTAGAATCTTTAGTAGCACACCTGATTACCTACGTGGACTTCAGTTTCTGACAGAGCCTTGAGCAGCTGCTCACAACGGAAAGCGTATGTAGACTGAAGCTATGCAGAGTGAAGTCTTGACAGCTGAAGCTTACTTGGGAACCAATGGTGCCCTAAATTAAGATAATTTATGAAACGTTGTAAGCCTGTAACATTCTTCATGGAAGTCAGTTAGGGAATGGAAAGTTTTGAGATAAAAAGAGGTAATCCAATAAATATATTCCAGTTGATTTTAGGCAGAAAATATGAAAATAGGATTTTCCTATCTTATTTACTGTTTTTTCTCCTACTCTAAGGTTTATTTTTTAAAATAAACATTTATGCAAATGTAGTATCAGCTATGAGAAGAATCAAAAAATATTTGTTCAGATGCACCTATACAACCAATAGGGTTTTATATTTGTTCAGATGCATCTATAAAACCAATATAATTTTTCCCTTAGTAACGTTAAGCTCATGTTCATAAAGGTATTCATGCATTTGAGACTGTTAGATGTATCCTCAGCATTCAAATTTGTTCAGTGATGTCTTGAATTATACTAAAAGTTAAAGCCCATACAAGATTAAGAAATTGGCAAGAAAAGAAAAGAAAATATAACCTGAATTCTTGAAATGTTAATCACATTGTAACTTTATCATCTTAAGCGCTTATTTCCACATAATATTTATAAATAACATAAACAATATTTTAGATATAACAAAATTATTAACAAATTAAGAATTACGTATTTTATCATTTACAATTCAATTAGGAAAAATGTGTTTATAGTAATCTCAGATTAAGAAAAAATATCAGTATTCAGATTTTGGTTTCTACCTTTGTGGTGATAAAATATACATTTACATTATACTTTATGCTGATACATTGAAACTCTATAATTGCTGATACTACACAATCGTGAACTGAAAACATGTATTTGCTTAATGATAAAATTACATAGTTTAAAATAATTACAGTTGTTATTTAATTATCCCATACCTGGCATATGACCATTGATTCACCCTAAACTTGTACACTTCAAACATCTCTTTTTATATGCTATATTTGTAGAATAATGAATAAACAATATTTTAGATAGCTTTGTTAAAAATTAATTCTACTTTCATATATTTGCTCAATATCAAAACATTCTGCAAATGTATGATAAAGGGTTGGTATCCAAGACAATAAATTACCTGAAGAAACCGTTTTAGATGTTAGGACTGCTATAAACTGAATTGTATTTCCCCAAATTCATATGTTGAAGCCCTCACCCCCACTGTGATGGTATTTGGTGATGAGATCTTTTGGAGGTAATGGGTTTAGCTAAGGTTTTAAGGGTGAGGAATTAATGATGAGATTGACATCCTATAAGAAGAGATCAGAGAGCTTGCTCTCTCTAGTTTCCTCTTTCTCAGCACCTTTACAAAGAAGTCATGTGAACATAGCAAGATGGTGGCCATCTGCATGCCAGGAAAAGTCTTTACCAGAAAGCAACCATAATGGCACAATAATCTCAGGCTTCCAGCCTCTGAAACTCTTAGAAAATAAATTCCTGGTATAAGCCACACAATCTATGGTATTTTGCAATGGTAGACTAAAACAAAACCTTTTTCATAATTAAGAAGCCTTCTTATATTAAAGAATCATGTTGCAAACCTTCTATATTCCCAGTGATAAATGTGTATTATGTTTCCTGTGAATAATGATGTGGGATTTTGATAATGGGAAAATTATATAATGCGTATTTTTATATATGAAACTCTACTCTAGGAAACTAAATGCATAGAAACGTCATGTATGTATTTTCTTCTAAATGTGTAACAGCTGGAAAATGATTAAATAAATTACAGTTCATTGATACACTAAAAAATATTTCATTACGTGGTATAAAAATATTTGTATGGCTATTAATTACCTAGGAAATTCTTACCATGTAATATTCACTGAGAAAATAAAAAACATGTGATTTGCTATTATTCATGTCAAGAATATAGTATGGACTGCTCTTTTGTGTGTATGTGGAAACTGTGTATACAGAGATTCTGTTTTTCTTTAATGGGTGAGTCACATTTCATCTTATCCAGCTACTCCTGTTTTGATGGATATTCGGTCTATTTCCAAATGGCCCACTATAATATTGCTTATACAATAATCTTGTGTAGATGGCATTACATACTTATATAATTATTTTATTTATTTATTTATTTATTTATTTTAGATACAATTCTTGAAGTGGAAGTGTAGGTAAAAATGGGTACACTTTAATTTCCTATAGTGATTTGTAATTCAGATATTTAAGCGTCATTCTTTCTTTGAAATCATAGTTGTTTTAATTTTATCATAGTCTAAAAATTTTTCTTTTATATATGATGTAGGAAACAATGGGGTTTTCAATAAAATTTTCAATAAAATTGTGAAAGATAATGTTACAGCATTTATTTTATAAAATTTGAACATCATGCAATACATTTAAACATACTGAAAACTTTTTTGAGACTAGATTTTCTTTTAAGTTGTAAAGTAATGGCAAATAATTTGTTTTAAATACAGAAAATTTGAAAAAATAATTCAGCCATATTTTTATTACCTAGAGAAACCACTCACATTTTAATATATGTTCTCCCTGAAAAAAAAGACTATGTATATGTACAGATATAGCTATTTAGCAATTCTATACATTATTTACATGATTGTGTTGTTTCTTTAACTATAAATATTTGCATTTTCTATGTCATCATAAATTCTTCAATAACATGTTTAATTTTCTCTTGAGTATGCCAGTTTGCTTATCCACTCGTTTGTTTATTTGTTTTGTTTTTTGAGACAGGGTTTCCCTCTGTTGCTCCCAGGCTCCAGGCTGGAGTGCAGTGGCATGATCTTAGCTCACTGCAGCCTCCTCTTCCCAGGTTCAAGGGATCCTCCCACCTTTGCCTCCTGAGTAGCTGAGACTACAGGCAAGTGCCACCATGCCCCACTAATTTTTGTACTTTTTGTAGAGATGGGTTTTTGTCACCTTGCCCAGGCTGGTCTTAAACTCCTGGGCTCAAGCGAGCCACGTGCCTTTGCCTCCTTAAGTGCTGGGATTACAGGCGTGAGCCACTGTGCCCAGCCCTCTTCACAAAATTTTTAAACAGCTTTCTAACTCGGTTGTTCTAGGTTAACTTCCCAACTGTAATCTCCAGGAATGAAAATTGCACTAAATCCTGTTCAAATACTTTTAAATAGATATAAGCCTTCATGTACTGTTGGGATGTCTTGGTTGACTCTCACAGGGTATCTGTTCTCATCGCATTCAATCTTTTTCAGGATCAACTGTCATATTTGTCAATATCTTTTTTTCTTAAAGAAATTTCTTTTCCTTATTTTCATCTTTTCTCCCTGGCTGTTCAATCTAGATTATTTGCTGGCCCTCTTCCTCTGATTGACCTCCAAATATTGGAAGATTTAAAGGGTCAGTTTTCGGCCTTTTTTGTTAAACTTCCAATAATTTCTCTTTAGGTCCAGTCCCATCTCTAGTGCTATCATAGTTCCTAAACTTTGGATTCTCATACAGACCTTCCAGTAGACCTTTCCTGAGGATCACAAACTGAGCAGGTTCATACCGTAACTATTAAGACTCCATCTTTCCCATTTTAGCTAATGTCAACACTTCTGCAAAGTTTCCAATCTAAAACCTGGATGTCATCCTTGATTTTCTACACACCAAGTCCATTGGCACAACTTGTTTGTTTACTTTTAATTTATATTCAAAATTTCATTACATTAAATGATCTTCACTTCCAACATTCAAGTCCCAGTTAACTTCAATAGGCTTCTATAAACTGAAATAATTTATTCCCCTACCCCAGCCCTTTTCTGAAAGAAATAATCTAAAGCAGTACCGAGAATATTTGGTTATATATTTTGCCATCTATGCAATGGAAAATATGCAGAATATTAAGCAAAATGCATCTATCATATTCTTGCTACCATGACACTGGTTGAGAATGTGATTATCTTATACTATCTTCGTGTGTCTCCAAATATTAAACCACTGGGCTTACTGCTAGGTGCTAGATAAATATATATTTTGTGCTGGCACAGAGTAAGAACTAAATAACAATTGCCTTCAAATGGGTAATGAAAAGACCCCATTAATTGATTATCAGAAGCATAAGCATCATCTGAAATAATTATTTAAACACAAATAAATTCTCAAGTGACCTTGAAGAATATAGGGTTTTATTTTATTTTATTTTCCAGTAAAGTTGCACTTGTCAGTTCTGGGTTTCTATTATTCTGAGATCTCTTATAATTTGCTGAGAGAACAAGTGAACTGTAATAATTATAATGTATTTTTTATAATTGGTGTCACATTTTTGCCTGGTAGACAATTACAATACCAACAAACTACTGAATGAATATCACCTCTTTGCTTTTTAGAACTATGAGGATAACCTCTGTATTTTCATATGCCAAATATATGTTTATGCCATATTTTGGTGTCATGTGCCACTGTGTTGGATATTATTTTTAATGTGGCTGATTGAAATGTCAGATGTTATTTGTTTTCCTTTTCATTGTATACAGAAAAATTGTCACAGTGGAGTGAAGATTATCACTAATCACTGCCTTTATCAATTTTCTTAAAAATGGAAATATAAAATCAACACAGAATTCTGGAAAATAAGATATATTTTGATCATTGATTTTAACTTTTTAAGCTTTTATTGAAGTATGATACATATATACATCCACATATGAGTTTATTTAACATTCACAGTCAGTTTTTATAGATTTTTATATAAAAAGAGTTTGGATGCAAGATCTTGATGCAAAAGGTATCAAGATCACAAAATAGAATATTACCATCACATTATAAGATCTCACTTTCCCACGACTCTCTTAGTTATTAACGGCCTCCCACAGGTTAACCACTATTTTGACTTTAAGCAAAATAGATTCATTTTGTTTGTTTTAGAAGTTTACATAAGTGAAATTATATATGATGTACTCTTGTATATATATTTTTCCACTAAATATTATGTGAATGATTATCTTTATTGTTGCAGAAACTTGAAGATTATTTATTGTCATTGCTATACAGTATTTCATTGTTTGTATATAGTGTAACTTATTTTTCCATTCTACTGTTGACATATACTGGAGAAATTTCTAGTTTTTGGCTACTATAAATAGTTCTACTGTGAACATATATGTACTTCTTTAAGGTGTACATATTAAAGTATTATTTTAATAGCATATGCATATGTTTAACTTTAGTATACACATTTAAACACCTTGTATACAAGTTGCACCACGTTGTTCACCTACAAGTAGTGTATGAGAGTTCTGATTTCTCTCCATCTTTGCTAACACTTGCTATTACATTATTATTATTATTATTATTTACACTTTAGCTATCCTGCAGAGTGTAGCAGAATGAAGATGCATTGTAATTCTACTTTGTATTTATCTGATGATTAATAAAGTAAATAAAGCACTTTTTTACATACTTACTGGCCATTTGGGTATTCTTTTTGTGAAGTGTCCATTCAAATTTCTATCCACATTTTAGCTTTTACAAACCTATTTAATATATGAAAAGAACATTAGCTTTGATGTCCTTTTCATTTATAAAATAGATTTGTAAAAGCTCTTTAGCTTTTGCTGTTTTTTTCATTACAAATATTTTTCCCAACCTGTGAGTTTCATTTTTTTTAGATCTATTGATGATATATTTTGATAGATAGAATTTCTTAGTCAAAATAGAATAACTTCATAGATATTTTTTAGCATTGTGGTTAGTGTGAACACTAATTTCCAAAAGATGCATCTTAAATATTTTGAAATCTGTCTTTATGAAAGTAAGAAGCATTTGGAAATAAAGTTCTACTTTATACCCTGAATCTTCATGCCTGTAATCCCAGCTACTCAAGAGGCTGAGACAAGAGAATTGCTTGAATCCACGAGGAGGAAGTTGCAGTGTGCTGATATCGCACCACTGTACTCCAGCCTGGGCGAAAGAGTGAGATTCCAGAAAAAAAAAAAAAAAAAGAAAGAAAGAAAAGAAAGAAAAGAAAAGAAAAGAATGACCTCAGGCAAGATCAATTCATTTCCCCTTGCCTCAATTTCCTCACTGTCAAATAGGGAAAAAGGAAATAATGACTTTATTGAATTAAATTAAAGAATAAAATAAGATATACGATGATGGTGAAATTTCATTATAAAAACCAAAGCCCAAGACAAATATAACGATAAAGAGAACTATGTGATTTTCCATCTTTGGCACAATAGACTGCATACTAAAATTTATGCCACCACCATTAATCAATGTTCAGGTTGCAATACCTCTAACATTAATAATTGGAATAAAGTCCCATTAATTACCATACCTTAGTTATTTTCTGTATAATCCCAATAAATTTAAATTTTATAGCAGTCACACAGTTCTTATTTGGGGCCCACCATTTAAAATCAAGTGTCCTACAGTACATCAGTTAATATATTACCTATACACTATAAAGCAATGCAACCATGAAGTATTTTCATTTTAAGAAATTATTTTTCAAATATTTTAATATAACATACATAAATCAATAAGATTTGCCTGTTTGTGCTTATGATTAACATTTATTGAAAATGTAAGTTGTTATCAGTTAGGATAATCTTGATTATGCTTCATAAAAAATAACTGAAGCCTTTTTGTGGAACAAAACATCTAAGTTATTTTTGATCAACAAAACTAAGAGCTGTTTCATTAAAAAACAAAGAATAAACACAATTCACCAATTATTAGCTAGAGTAAGAAAGAAAAGAGAGAGGACTTAAAATCAGAAATGAAAGAGGAGACATTACAATTGTAGCACCGAAATACAAAGGATCAGAGGAGACTACTCTGCACAATTATATGCCAACAAATTAGAGAACCTAGAATAAATAGATAACTTCCTAGACACATACAACCACCAAGACTGAATCATGAAGAAATACCAAAGTACGACTGAACCTGTGATAAAAAGTCTCTCATCAAAGAAAAGGCCAGGACCTCATGACTTCTCATGTTCTATCAAACATTTAAAAAAATAGAACCAATTGTTTACGAATTCTTCTAAAAACGTCAAAGAAAAACAATTTTTCCAAACTCTTTTTATGAGACCAGCACATGCTGATACTAAAGGAAAACAAGAAAGCTATAAGAAAAAAAAAATACAGCCAATATTCTTGATGAACATAGATGCAAAATTCTCAACAGAATATCAGCAAACTAAATTAAAAAAATAAATAAAAGGATCATTGACTATGGTCAAATGGAATTTATCCCTGGGCTGCAAGAATGGTTTAATATACACATATCAATAAATGTGATACATCACATTAACAGAATAAAAGACAAAAACAATATGATCACCTCATTACATGTAGAAAAAATATTTGACAATATTCTACATACTTTTAGGAAAAAAAACTCTCTACAAATTAGCTATAGAAGGAATGTGCCTCAACAAAATGAAGACTATAGATCATAAGTCCACAGCTAACATTATGCTCAATGATGTAAAATTGAGAGCCTTCCTCCAAAATCTGAAACAAAACAAGTACGCCCACTCTCGATATTTCTATTCAACACAGTATTGCAAGTCCTTGACAGAGCAAATAGGCAAGAGAAGGAAATAAAATGCATTAAAATGCCAAAGAAAAACCTGAAATAGTTGTTGTTTTCTGATAACACGATCTTATATGTAGAAAACTCTAAAGATCCCACCAAAAAAACATTAGAACTAACAAATAAATATGATGTTACAATCTCGACTTTGAATTACTAAATATTGTCAACACACAAAAACAAGGAACATTTTTATACAATAATAACTAAATTTGTAAAAAAGAGAGCAATCCCATTTATAATAATTATAAAAACGGAACACTTAGGAATAAATATAACCAAGGGGAGTAAGAGACTTGTACAATGAAA